TGTATGCACTACAAATGCATTGAAGGAAATATTCTTTTCAAAACTAACTTTTATTGATATTCACACTTTGAAATTTATATTATCTAAATATTTTAAATCAATTTTTAGATTTTATAAATTTTAAGTATATATAATTTTATTTTTTAAAGACTTATTTATAATCATATTGAAAAAAATTCTTTTTGTATTTTATATAAATGAAAAATAAAAAAAAAAATTTATACTATTTCGCCAATTATAACTTTCATCGATTTAATTTTTGCTTTAAAATGTCTATTACATTTCTATGAAATTTAAATATTATTTTTTATGAAATAAATAAAAATAACAATTACAATTTTAATAGAGATCAAATACAATTACAATAATCAAATACAAAACATGATAGATTCAAAAATTTTATAGAGATCAAATACAATTACAATAATCAAATACAAACACAGATTCAAATTTTTATAGAGATCAAATACATATAATAATACCTCAATACAACTTTTAATAGAGATTAAACAAATTCAAAATGATCGCAAATGACAATAAAATAAATAATTGTTTGTCTTTTTTGTTGTTTACCGTGAAGAAAGAATATACAATGAATAGATAGATATTCCAAAATGACTATTTTATTAAACATACCTTTATTAAAATAAATTTACTGTTAATGCAAATATTTTAATAATTTACTTTTTAAAAAATTTTATTACTTAGATAATCACAAATAGTTTATACTTTAACTATGATTTTAGCAATAGTTAACATTAAATATATATGAATTTTTTAAATTTGTAATATTCATGTGATCGCCACCCTCAACTGACACACTAAAATTTTTAAGTACTACATCGGAATTAAGATATTAAATAAAAAATTATTTAAAAGGAAAAATACTAATTAAAATTAAATTATTTTCTTCATATTATTTTTTTTTTTAATGGAAATGTCATTTAGTTGTAAAGTTTGTATAAGGTCATTTAATTAGGGGTTTAAAATTAATTTTTGTATAAGAATATATTGTATGCAATGTATTGATTTAAAAATCGGCAGTGGTAATTAATTAGCAAATCATTTTATAAGTTAAATGTTATTTTAATGTAAGAAAAAATTATAAGCAAACGAAAATGCTTTGAAAACTAGATTATAACACGGGAATTTTCTATTTTTTTTCCAGTTATTTATGCGGCTTGATGACCGCATAAATAACTGGCTAGCTTTCTGGCTTTTGGTACCACAGGCTTCGATTCGAATTCTGGCGGTGGCATGGATGTTTGGTGGTGGTTCGAAATTCACTTTAAATTGGTCCCGGTCTAATTAGCCCAAATTGTGTAAAAGCGACAAATCAAAACCACTATTTATAATTATTTTTATTTTCTTCAAACATGTATTATATAAAATTGATTAGAATCGGTTATATAATATATTTATGTAAGGAAACGTGTTAAAAGTGATAATTCTTACGTGTTTCATTTTTTAAATTTTTTAATTTCAGCTTGTTATAATTTTTTTCATTAAACTCATGACAAATAACATTGCATATAAAAATCTTTTTCGCAAACACATTTTTTAGTAAGAAATAAAATATATATCTGGGAAACGATTTTTAATTTTGTAAATAAATTATTCATAATGAAAAAGACGTGTTTATACAATAATTTTATTGCCACAAAAGTAAACAGAATTATTCCTAAACTAAAAGAGAAAAAAAAAAAAAGGAACATCCAATTAATATTCTTTTCTAGATAAGATTATAGTTTACTACATGAGATACTACTACATTCATAAGATTTACTACATAGTTTACTTATCTTAGTTTACCACATAAGATTATTTACTTCACTGTTTTTTGTTTCCATAAGGTCAACATTACTTTCATTATTTAAGATCATATATGTCCAGTTAAATTTTTTGGATTCGTTTAATTCCTGCATTATTGCCGAATGTTTAAATTCTGAAACGTATATTTTTGATCACATTTTAAAAAACTCGTTTTATTTATCAAATTTTTTTGCAGATGCTGTGATCTATATACAAATTCATATCCCCACATGATCAAAATACAATACATTATCAATGTGTTATAACAAATGATTGAAAGCATATTCGGATGGCATTTGAAAAAATAATTCAAACTAGCTGTATGCTCAGTATTGTTCAGAAGAGAATTTGACATTGTAAACAAAATTAATGTCTCCGAATCATAGGCCCCTTACGAGTCTGATGGCCACAGACTTCAGGTTCGAATCCTGGCGGTGGCATGGAGGTTTGAGAGTGATTCGGAATCCCATTAAAATGCAGGTCCCGGTCTAATTAGCCTAAAGTGAGGAAAAGAAATGACCGTAGAGTGACAAACTAAACGAAACCTCAAAAAATTGTTAGTGGGTTAAAAGTGGGTTTCTAATGACTACTGGAGCTCGGTATCACAGGTTTTCGGGTTCGAATCTGACGGTGTCATGGATGTTTGTAGTGGTTCGGAATCCACTTTAAGCCGGAGGTTCGAGTCTGATATTACTGTGAGAGCGTCACAGAGCCCAATCAGATTTCTCACCCACATCATTTCCAAACTGTAAAGGGGCAACTCAGCTCTAGGCGATGTGGTGTGGTGTAGTGTAGTAGTATGTCCCGCTGCACAACTAGCTTGAAATTGTTATACAAAACTCTATCAAAATTGGTATACGACCTCAAAAAATTGAGCGACCTCATGACCAATTGTCTAGTACTCTGGCTTTTTGGTACCACAGGCTTTAAGTTGGAATCCTGTCAGTGGCATGGATGCTTGCTAGTAGTTGGAAATCCACGTTAAATTGTAGGTTCCCCGTCCACAAGTAGCTTAAAATTTGATATACAAAACTCGATCAAAATTGGTATACGATCCTCAAAAAATTGAGCGACCTCATAACCAATTGGCTAGCACTCTGGCCTTTGGTACCACAAGGTTTAGGTGCAATCCTAGCTGTGGCATGGATGTTTGTTAGTGGTTAAACTGTATGTCCCGGTTTTAATTAGCCCAATGCGTGCATAAAATGACCGTAGAGATACAAACTAAACCGAATTGATTCAGAGCGGCGTAATACAAGACAAATGTAATTTTAGAGGGGTTTTAATTATAATAAAATGACTTTAATTGTAAATAATCAAAATTTTAAATTACTTAATATCAAAATAAATATTAGATGAAAATAATTCCACACCAATTATTTAGCTTCTTTCTTTCGAACTTTTGCGCTGCATCTATCTGATTTCCACCCCTAACAAGTAATACATTCGCCCATTTCCGCTTTTAAAGCAGATGTTTATCTTTGTACACAATCGCTCGTCGAACTATGCCTTTATGCTCCCCTTGGCCACAGGAAATTCTGCCAACCTTCCCTTCGTCTTTCACAATATGACGGTTTATTGTGTGTATTTTACAGTAACAATATACATATATTCTGCAAAAAAGTTTTCAAACTCAAAATTAAAGAGCTCAGAATATTATCATTGATTTATCAATTTATTTATAAAAAAAATAATAAATAAGAATAGATTTTTATTTTTAATTTGGTGTCATCTGTTACAGACTATTTTAAAGACACCTCCCTTATTTATTATTTTCCCTGTCTGATTAACGTGGCCAACCCAAAATGATCTAGCGAGCCACTTTGGAAATGCATCATATAACTCCGCAGACCGCATATAAAATTATATATCCCCATATTAGATGTAGACCCACTATAGGCATTTTTTGGAGTGAAAAAATTAAAACATAATCAGCTATTATTATTGTATTTACTGCTAGTCTTACATGTAAACGTAGATAATATAAATAATAATTATATTAAACGTACATTGTAAAGAAATATATAACACAAAAAATGAAATATAGAAAATATATAAATTAAATAAAAAAAAATGAAATCATTAAGAAATATTCATAGTGCGATATTTGTTCCTTTTACTTAGCAAATCGATCTCAATTTGGGTATTTGCACATCGTAATGGATGTTGCAGGTTAGCATCCGTTATGTTTGAGCTTGTTTTGTGTTTGGTTCATTTTATTTTCGAAAAAAAAACAACGATTCGCAGGTATAAATTGAACCCAAAGCGCTAACAACTTTTTGTGTAAGATTTCTCAAATTGGAAAATTTCTCTTTTGTGACGTAAATGCAATAAAAATCTATTTTTGATTATGTTTCAAAAATGTGTTTTAATTCAATATTGCATTGTATGTCAACCGGTTCCATTTGGAGATATTCTGGAGCCGACTCGATTTCAGCAAGAAAATTTTGTTGCATTTGTTTAACTTTAAATTACTGAATCGGCTTACAAAAGCAGCTGTAAGTTTTCTTATTTCTTTTGTACATTTGATATAATTTTTATATATGGATGCACAAATAATGTATTTTTTAATACATTGATTTTAATTACTTTGGACGTTATAAAATAAATAAATTCTGTAAAAAGTGTTATAAATATCTCAGGGGCCACAAAAAAATATACAAGGCGGGCAGCGGGTTGGCCACCTCTGCTCTAAATTTCGAAAGCATATTTATTCCTGATGCAAGATTTGATATTAGCTAAATAAAAAGGTCCATATGTGCATAAATAATAATAATTTTAAACATCTTTACATTTAAAAATAGCGATTTCTAATAATAAGAGATTAATTATTAATAATTTCGAAATTCATACTATTAAAAATTTTCAACATGAAAAAAATTGCATTTTATATTAATTCCTCCTTCCATTATGCATTTAATATTTAATGATTTTCATTAAATTAAAATTCATTCATTAAAGATTTTGCTCCCTTTCAATATAATCGACCCCCTCACAATAGAACATGCTACACAATCAGAAAATGCTGTTATACGCAAATAATTAATTCCAGAATTTGTGATGGTATTACCGAATCCTCATCTGTAGTCGGCACGCTTTTCCTTACATTATTATTCAACTTCTTTTGCTAGATATTCAGGTCATGCTCTACTTGTGTTGATGTTAGTATTTGTAATTCGCACGATTTCGCAAGCGCTAGTATAACGGTTAGCATAGCTGCCTTCCAAGCAGCTGACCCGGGTTCGACTTCCCGGCCAACGCAGTTTGCTTTTTTATTTATTTTTAAATAATAATTTAATAAAAAATTTTTAAATAATTATTTAAAATAATAATAAAAATAAAATAAATAATTACATTAAATGATAAGTCTATTAAAAATCAAATTGTGTTTGATCGCATTAAATTTACCGTTATCAGGAGAAATTATACAAATATCGCTCATATTAAAAAAAAAAAAATTTAATGAATATTTTGGTCACCAACTGTTCTTCCAAGATATGTAAAAGACAAAATTCGAGTAATAATCCTTGTCACTTATTTATTTCAATAACATTCATCACATGTTCCCATACTTTTATCTCATTCTTTTTTAATCAATTGGTGGAGTTTTTTATACAGGTGACAAAAACGATAAACGTTTGGCATTGGGCAAAAATGTGAACGCCGTTTAAATTTATACCAGACTAGAAGTGAACTAGAACGCAAATTTCTGTTTTCAATTTCTGCAATATCATCTGAAAATGACGAAGCCTATTCTTGGATATTGGGACAGAACCTATTCGTGGAATTGCAGAACCTATTCGTTTCCTTCTTCACTATAAGCAGAACCTATTCGTTTCCTTCTTCACTATAAGCAGAACCTATTCGTTTCCTTCTTCACTATAAGCAGATAGATTTTGTGGACAAAAGATATGCTTTCGGCACAGATGACTGGCAAAATGATAAGCGTGCATTAGGTTTGGACTTCCCAAACTTGCCGTACTTCATCGATGGTGACGTCAAACTAACCCAAAGCATAACAATAATGAGATATTTGGCAGAAAAGTATGGAATGGATGGTAAAGATGATCAACAAAACTTCACCTGCACATGGCCGAGCAGACGATTCTTGATCTTCGATTGAGTTCTGTTTCTTATTCTAGGTAGAAACGATTTCGAATATGCAAAGGAAAAGTTTTTATAAAAACATTCCAACACAGCTGAAATTGTGGGACAAATATCTTGGTGGTAACAAGTTCTTGAATGGTGATGATGTAACGTATGTGGATTTCATTGCAAATGAGACTATTGATTTCTATAGATTACTGTACGGAAACATTCTTGAAGATTTTTCCAACTCTTCAGGCTACCAAAATAGAATCAAGAACTTACCGGAGTTGCAAGATTATTTGAATTCCTCGTTCTACAAGCGCTGGCTCTCTGTTCCATCCTATGGCAAAATTTGGTGGTGGGAGGTGAAGAACCAGGCCATGCTTGAATCTTTATATATTCACAATTTATGTAAATAAAATTGATTATGTACATTGTTTAGAAATTAGTTAGTGAGGATGATACAATGTAAGTTTCATTACGATTTAGATACATTATTGTAAGACATTAAGATTTAGATACATTATTGTAAGACATTAAGATTTAGATACATTATTGTAAGACATTAAGATTTAGATACATTATTGTAAGACATTAAGATTTAGATAAGACACATTATTGTAAGACATTAAGATTTAGATACATTATTGTAAGACATTAAGATTTATTGTAGTTAAATAGATACATTATTTTTGAAGATTTTCCATATCTAGTTAAGAACTATCGTAATATGGAATCGAGAACTTATTTAAATTGAAAGCTTATTTTAATTTCCTATAATTCATTTTTTATGACAAAATTAGATCGTGAAGAAGATGAAAAAAATATTTATTTATTTATTTATTTTATTATTATTATTTATTTATTTTTTTTTTTTTGTTTTCATAATTTACCTTCCAGGTAATAAGCTGACATTGAAATTTTTGAATTAAAAGATATAAAAGGACATTTTTTTCTACAGAATTTATTACCTATTGCTGATTATTGTACTTATCTATAGTAAGAATTTATTTTACCAATATCTATAGTAATTCATTATTCTAAGTTATAAATAATCTTACTCTTAAAAAAATCGTAATTTAGAATAATGAATTATACATTTATTCTATTAACTATTACTGATTATTGTACTTATCTATAGTAAGAATACTCTAATCATTATTTACAGTATTCTTTTTTCTAAGTTATAAATAATCTTTACTTTAAAAAAATTATAATTTAGAATAATGAATTTTACATTTATTCTATTATCTATTACTGATTATTTTACTTATTTATATTAAGATTATTCGTTGCTCATTATATAGTAATACATTATTCTAAATTATAAATAATCTTATTCTTAAAAAATTGTAATTTAGAATAATAAATTATAAATTTGATAATGCTTAATTGTAAAAAGATCTTTAATTATATTGTGTTATTTATTCAAAATCAATTATTTGATCTACATCCAAATTAAGCATTCATAAATTACTATTTACCTTGTTATATTATTGACATTTACATCGAAATATTTTGGAATGAGTTTATCGTAGAAATCAACTGAAAATCAATTTGTAACCATTATTACTTTCAAAATTTCCTGAAAAATTTAATATTGATTTTTCTATTTCAGTAGCATATAAAAACGTTAAATATAGAATACATGTTATTTCATATGATATGATACTATATTAAAATATTTTAATGAATTATAAAACATTAAAGTAAGCAATGATATCAAAATACTTTAAATTTAAGATACATCAAATTTTTTTGTACATTGCAGAGAAAATTTCCCACATCATTGATACAGAATTGTATTTAATTAGCCAAAGATTCACGATTTATCATGATGCAGCTTTAATAAATTTGCATAAAACAATATAATAGTTTAAAAATGAATAACATAAATTTATATTCATATTTATACTATAAATTTATATTTATAATATATTTTAATGAATTTTAAATCATTAAAGTGAGCAATGATATGCCGATACTTTAAATTTCAGATATATGACTTTTGTAATGTACACATTGCAGAAAAATTTTCCACATCATTGATACAGAATTGTATTTAATTAGCCAAAGATTCAACGATTTATCATGATGCAGCTTTAATAAATTTGCATAAAACAATATAATAGTTTAAAAATGAATAACATAAATTTATATTCATATTTATACTATAAATTTATGCATTTATATTTATAATATATTTTAATGAATTTTTAAATCATTAAAGTGAGCAATGATATGCCGATACTTTAAATTTCAGATATATGACTTTTTGTAATGTACACATTGCAGAGAAAATTTCCCACATCATTGATACAGAATTGTATTTAATTAGCCAAAGATTCACGATTTATCATGATGCAGCTATAAATTTTAATAAATTTGCATAAAACAATATAATAGTTTTAAAAATGAATAACATAAATTTATATTCATATTTATACTATAAATTTATATTTATAATATATTTTAATGAATTTTAAATCATTAAAGTGAGCAATGATATGCCGATACTTTAAATTTCAGATATATGACATTTTTGTAATAGCCAAAGTACACATTGCAGTTTAAAAAATTTCCCACATCATTGATACAGAATTGTATTTAATTAGCCAAAGATTCACGATTTATCATGATGCAGCAGCTTTTAATAAATTTGCATAAAACAATATAATAGTTTAAAAATGAATAACATAAATTTATATTCATATTTATACTATAAATTTATATTTATAATATATTTTAATGAATTTTAAATCATTAAAGTGAGCAATGATATGCCGATACTTTTTAAATTTCAGATATATATGACTTGTAATGTACACATTGATACAGAGAAAATTTTCCACATCATTGATACAGAATTGTATTTAATTAGCCAAAGATTCACGATTTATCATGATGCAGCTTTAATAAATTTGCATAAAACAATATAATAGTTTAAAAATGAATAACATAAATTTATATTCATATTTATACTATAAATTTATATTTATAATATATTTTTAATGAATTTTAAATCATTAAAGTGAGCAATGATATGCCGATACTTTAAATTTCAGATATATGACTTTTTGTAATGTACACATTGCAGAGAAAATTTCCCACATCATTGATACAGAATTGTATTTAATTAGCCAAAGATTCACGATTTATCATGATGCAGCTTTAATAAATTTGCATAAAACAATATAATAGTTTAAAAATGAATAACATAAATTTATATTCATATTTATACTATAAATTTATATTTATAATATATTTTAATGAATTTTAAATCATTAAAGTGAGCAATGATATGCCGATACTTTAAATTTCAGATATATGACTTTTTGTAATGTACACATTGCAGAGAAAATTTCCCACATCATTGATACAGAATTGTATTTAATTAGCCAAAGATTCACGATTTATCATGATGCAGCTTTAATAAATTTGCATAAAACAATATAATAGTTTAAAATGAATAACATAAATTTATATTCATATTTATACTATAAATTTATATTTATAATATATTTTAATGAATTTTAAATCATTAAAGTGAGCAATGATATGCCGATACTTTAAATTTCAGATATATGACTTGATACAGAATTGTAATAGCCAAAGATTCACGATTTATCATGATGCAGCTTTAATAAATTTGCATAAAACAATATAATAGTTTAAAAATGAATAACATAAATTTATATGCATATTTATAGTATAAATTTATATTTATAATATATTTTAATGAATTTTAAATCATTAAAGTGAGCAATGATATGCCGATACTTTAAATTTCAGATATATGACTTTTTGATTCACATTGAGAAAATTTCCCACATCATTGATGCATTGCTTTAGCCAAAGATACGATTTATCATGATGCAGCTTTAATAAATTTGCATAAACAATATAATAGTTTAAAAATGAATAACATAAATTTATATTCATATTTATACTATAAATTTATATTTATAATATATTTTAATGAATTTTAAATCATTAAAGTGAGCAATGATATGCCGATACTTTAAATTTCAGATATATGACTTTTTGTAATGTACACATTGCAGAGAAAATTCCCACATCATTGATACAGAATTGTATTTAATTAGCCAAAGATTCACGATTTATCATGATGCAGTTTTAATAAATTTGCATAAAACAATATAATAGTTTAAAAATGAAT